AAATGTATCTGTCGGTGGATGGTCCGGCTTGAGTCGTAGTTTGGTGATGTTGTGCAGGTTGTTGCGGAGACTCCTCGACCATTTGCTGAACAACATGCTCCGATGCGTTTGCCTCATCTGTTGCAAGAGGTGGAGCAGGATGAGGGAGGCCAACAATGCCTACCACACCATTCTCCTTAACCACCAAACACAGACATGATCAATATCAGAAGCATTAGTTACATTTGCTCAATGTTCAAAAGGAACTAGATTAGTAGGCAATCCAAAACTTGCACAAAATCAATCCTAGATTGTTTGAATCCCGACTAGTTCTGTTTTAGCATTCACTGTGAAAAGGAAAGTGTTGGTTGGAACATTTACCTTTGACAACAAATATAGATCCGCAAGGTTTTTTTGGGAGATTGGTTGAGTGGACTGGGCAATGGTGCAATGAGAACCCACCGGATCAATGCCAAAATGCCGAGCTAGCCTTGTGATGTAGGCACCTCCATGGATGGTCTTGATTTGTTTGTTGGAGGTCATCTTCTGTAGGGTTTTCAGTATGACTAAACCAAGATGAATTGGGGGATCTTTTACCATAGAGAGGAAAAAGTTCAAATCCCGCTTGGTCACACTCCCCGGGCTCCCCTCCCTAGCTGCCACAGAATGAGCGATAATGTTGTGGATGATACGCCATGGGGGAAGAAGATCATTCCCTTTATAGTGGGCAGTGTCAGACTTGTCCACATGGTTTTGTTTTACCCTTTTCCACATAGCATCGACCAATTGTGCTCTTGGTGAATATACTTTCTCTGAAATCAAACCATGACCTGTAGTGAGAAATCCTGGTGGGTATATCTGGAGTGCCTCTGTGAACTCAGTGATGCTCATCTGTCTCGCCTGTCCTCCAAGGCGAAAAGTTATGTTGTCTTCGGGCTTGTCGAGGTGAAATTCGCACATAAACTTGATGGAGAGAGTGCTGAGGAACTCAATGGTAAGCTCTCGGTAGATGACCTCATTGATGGAGAGAACCTCACACCATGCCGGGAGACGGAGGCATGTGCGAACGGGGTCCGCTGCTCCGAGGCGCTCTAGGAGATCCCAATCAATGCATCTTTGCTGCCCAAATGGGAGGGGAAGGAAGCGCTCTAAAGCCCTCCTATGTTTGTCGGGTAATTGGAGGAAGCCGTGAAGTCCCCCTCCTCCAAGTTGAGCCTCCGTTTGTGGTGGTGGAGATGGTTGACGTGCTCGTCCTTGGTTGTTTTTGCGTTGTCGTTTGGGGGGAGTGTCTCGTTCTTGGGTTTGGCGGCGACGACGATAAGTAGCCTTCACTTTAGCAGGTGAGGCTGATGGTTGCGTGGTTTTTTGTTTAGCTTTCCCCATTCCTACAAAAACCAACTAAGCACATTAAGTCTTTAGTGAATGAGAGGGAAAAGAATTATGCATAAGCATATGCAATTCACAAAGAGACGTCTACACCCTAAAAAAATGCAACAAACCAGGAGCATTCTAATCCCAGGAGCATTCTAATCACAATTAGGAATTCAAAACCCTAATTCAGACCAACCAGGAGCATTCTAATCCCAGGAGCATTCTAATCACAATTAGGAATTCAAAACCCTAATTCAAACCAACCAGGAGCATTCTAATCACAATTAGGAATTCAAAACCCTAATTCAGACCAACCAGGAGCATTCTAATCACAATTAGGAATTCAAAACCCTAATTCAGACCAACCTTGGGCAACTAAACCCTAAAAAATGCAAGAAACCAGAGAAGATTGCCGCTGTGGTTAAGAAGAACTCACGAAGTGGAACAGAGGGCAGAGACTCGTGGGGAAATGGTCGCCGTCGCCGCTGAACCTTGGAGCAGTTACCAGAGGAGTCGTGGGGAAGTGGTCGGCGGCGGAAGAATCTTCGAGGGCGAGCGAGCGAGTGCGACCGATCGAGGGCGATGGCGAGCGAGTGAGGGCGAGGCTTGGGGGGTCGAAGTGCGATGGCGAGCGAGTGAGAACAGAGGGAGTACAGGGTTGGGGGTCGGGGGAGAAGAGGCTTGGGGAGAAGAGGGTTCGGGGTCGAAGTAGAACATAGGGTTGGGGGTCGGGTTCAAGTAGAAAAGAGGAATTTAAAACAGGGTGTTTCCAATTTGCTGCATTCCATCTCACGGTTTTTCTCCCGGGCGTGATATAAACCGTGAAACCCCCTGTCCGTTACAATTTTTTTTAAAAAGAATTCTAACGGCATATCTCCCGGCCGTGAGGTTCCAGTTATGAGGCGTGGTTTTGGGTTTCAACTGTGACCATCTCACGGGTTAATCTCACGCCCGTGAGATTAACAGATGAGCCGTGAGAAGTTCAGCATTTCAATTGCACAAACACGGCTCATCTCACGGCCGTGATACTGGCGAGACCAACCCGTGAAACCCCCTGGAACTCTCCCTTTTTCAAAAAAATCTAACGGCTCATCTCACGGCTTTTTGTCCCGGGCGGGATATAACCCGTGAAACCCCCTGGAAGTTACAAATTTTAAAAAGAATTCTAACGGCATATCTCCCGGCCGTGAGGTTCCAGTTATGAGGCGTGGTTTTGGGTTTCAACTGTGACCATCTCACGGGTTAATCTCACGCCCGTGAGATTAACAGATGAGCCGTGAGAAGTTCAGCATTTCAATTGCACAAACACGGCTCATCTCACGGCCGTGATACTGGCGAGACCAACCCGTGAAACCCCCTGGAACTCCCCCTTTTTCAAAAAAATCTAACGGCTCATCTCACGGCTTTTTGTCCCGGGCGGGATATAACCCGTGAAACCCCCTGGAAGTTCCAGTTATGAGGCGTGGTTTACGGTTTCAACTGTGACCATCTCACGGCCTCTCTCACGGTTACTCTCACGGCCGTGATACTTTCAGAATTTCAAATCCAAAAACCACGCATGCTTTCACGGCCGTGAGATTTCCGGAATTGGCCTGCACAGACATTCACATGTAGAACTAACCCCTGTACTTATTATAAGAGTGTAAGAAACATAATATACTGTTTTTGAAAACTACAAGCTTATGAAAAGATGAGTCATAATGTTCTTTGAAGCTAGACACAAGCATTACATAGATCCATTCAATGTCACTAGATACAAACTTGTACAAAACAAACATGACAAGATGAAACATAATGTTGTTTGAAGCCGAACACCAGCATTACAGGTTGTGCTTGGATCGTTTGGGAAGTAGAACAGATTCTTGAGTCTCCACATGAAAGCTGCTTTCACCTGCTCCTATGGACTCGAAGTTGTATTCTTGTTGCGTGAAATGACTATCACCTGCACCTGCTTCAGCCATTCTTTTCAGCGGACAATTTCTGATTGTATGTTTAGGACGCCTACAATACTTGCACAACCGTGTTTTCACTTGAGGTTGCTTCACATTCCCTTTACTTCGAACTGGATGGGGGTCCTTAATAAACTGAGAGGAGTTCACTCCAGCATCCGTAGTAGCATTATTTGTTTTGTTGGTTGTTTCTTCACTTATTGTCTTCACTCGCAAGGTCAAGTCTTCAATCAACCCTTTGGCAGTATGAAATGCTTCATCCGAACTCACAGCATAATGGCACATTCTACTACATTGACCAACCAAGAATCCAAACCTGTCCAAATAAACAAGCAATTTTGTAGTTGGTTACTAGCACAATAGAAGTAAACAAAGAACTAAATCAACAGCTTAAATTTATAATACCTGCTAATATTTTGCTGGGTAGGACAGCTTCCCATACTCGAGGGATCGAACTCTTTTGCATCTTTAGTCCAACGCTTCAAAATGAGTGACTTTGGAATTTGTATTTGATTTTCTGCTTTCAATATACAGAATATATGCCGACATGGAATTCCGCAGAACTCAAAAATGCCACAAGAACAATGCACATCATGTCCACTCGTGTAAAAGACCACAGTGCACTTTGAGTCAGGGTATTTGAATCGTGACAATGTGTAAATTGTTTTATTGGTCAACACACACTTGTCTGTAATATAGTAATGAACTTATCTCGCTATTTCTGCTCGAACGCTCCTGAACACATTTCTTGTATATACTATAGAGGCATGTCTTTCAATTTCATGTAAATGTGTCATCAAAACAACATCAGTATGTATTGTCTTAAACTGGTCATGTAACTCAGTTTGTCTCCTATACAAAAGTGCCATGTCAAACTGCTTGACAAACTCAAACAACTTCATCTTACTTTGCAAGAATTTGTCTAGATAAGAGTTCATGCTCTCACAACGTTGTGACGTAGTCATCCCAGCAAAGAAAATACCTTTCAAGTAAGTTGTGGCCCATAGAGCTCGTCGCCTATACATCTTCTTCATCCACGCATTGTGCTCCAGGTCATACTTGGACAAAATTTCCTTCCACGTAGCTTCAAATTGTGGAATAGAACTGCAGTTTAGCATGCATCGTTTGAAATCCTCCCGGAAGCCTTCCGCATGGCCACGCGCTTCTGCGTTATTGCCCAAGTGCCAAGAACATAACCGATGTCGGGATCCAGGGAGAACCGACTTGATAGCTTTCCTCATTGAAGAACAACCATCTGTTATAACTGCGGTTGGCTTCTTACCACCCATGCAATGTAAAAAAGCATTTAGAATCCATACGTAGTTCTCCGCCGTTTCATCCGCAAGTAAAGCACATGCAAAAACAGTGCTTGCATTGTGATTATTCACACCAATGAATAGAAGAAATGGAAGATTATATGCATTAGTTTTGTACGTCGAGTCAAAAACAAGAACATCTCCAAAGAGACTATAATCCAATTGTGAAGAAGAGTCAGCCCATAACATATTGCCTAGTTCACCACCATCACTTACTGTATATCTACAATAAAAACGAGGATCGGTAGTTGCCCGTGCTTGTAAGTAGGCAAGTGCAGCTTCACTATCACTATCCAAGATCTCCGACCTCCGATCCGCACTAACAAAATTGTAGACATCGGTCTTAGTGAAACCCAAGTTCTGAAAGCTTCTCGCACAATTCACTAGATAATCCATTATTTGATTGGTGCGAATACCAGCAGCCCTAAGTGATCGAATCTGAGCCTTACTTGCGTCATCTACCTTGCGATGAGAACTCAAAAACTGCACTTCATGTGCTCTAGCTAAGTGATGAAAATGTGTTGGTATAAACTGTTTCACCTTGAATCAGTTAGTTGCCTCAACAAAACTGACTTTGAAAGCTGCCGGACAATGGAGCCTTGTTACGGGCCTAGGTTCACGCTTTCTGTTCTCCTTGTCATTGTGCACTGGTTGACGCTCCCCCTCGCGTGAGCAAACCCATCGCTGCATATTTTTAACTCCATATTTTGAAAATGTGTGAGTGTTCTTCCGTACGCTGAATCCCATGGCACAACCATAAGTTGAATAGAACTTGGCAGCCTCCACAAGGGTTTCAAACTCATAACCCACAACATCATCCGACTCCCATTTAGAATATGGCTTACCATTCCCGACTTTATCAAGCAAGGTCCAGTCATACATACTCGAGTACGGTGGAGCCATGGATGGATTTGCAGCATCTTTGTGTAGAGGTGCATCTGAGCTGTGTGGCTGTGTTTTGAAGCTGTGCAAATGCTCATCTGAGATGTTCTCTTTATCATCATCACCAAAGTTAGTGTTATTATCATCCTCAGAATCACTATCGGTGGTGTCGACATTGTCCTCCATATCGTCACTATCTCTAACACCACCGGTATCATCTCCATAATCCATTCCCCAATCTAAACCAACATTCAAGTCAATTCCCGTGTCCTTGCCTGTGCTCATATCATCCATCAACCCTTCCATAGTTGATCAACTGAAAACAAGCAAGAAAATGAAGTTTAGAGACAATTGAAATCCACATATTCACCACCCACAACCGACCGAATGAATTGAAACAAACACGAGGCAAGACCGAGTTAAGCAACCATAGTTTCCCCTTCACTTCTGCGACAAACCAACCATTCACAAATGAAAGAAACCATAGCCTAAACCGTACTCCATACCAAGAAGAACCCATAAGTCCCTGATTTCTCAAAAGAACCCAAAGTCCGGCGAAACCCATAAGTTTCCCAAGAGAACCCGTGAGTGCAAATAGAAATCGAAAATGAAGCAACTAGAACCGCACAAATCTGGACGAAAACCAACAATTTCCCAAAAAACCCCGTGGAACCCTAAATCCGCACAAATCTGAGGCTACTAGAAGCGCAAAACACACAGGTAAAGCAGGAGAAGAGGTTATCGTACTTGACGGAGAGTGATGGAGAGCGGTCTGCGGGTCTTCGGCGGCTGACGAAGGATGGGCGAATAAAGGAGAATGGAAAATCGATGGTTGCGTAGAGAAGGGAAGACGAAGGAAGGGAGATAGGAAGCAGGAAGGAAGAAATCGACAGGGAGGGAAGCAGGAAGGAAGAAATCGATGGTTTCGTAATATTGGTGGATAAGAGCCGACTAAGGAGGGAAGCAGGAAGGAAGAAGTCGACAGGGAGGAACCGAGGATCAGTCCTCTGGCGCCGACGAAGGAGGAGAAGGAAGAAACGGCATTACGACGGTGAGGGTTTAGGAACTAGGAATTTCTTCATTATGACCGACCCAAAAATTCATCGGTTTACAATTACATGGGTTGAACCCAATAACCATAATCAAATACTCACTAAACCATATATCACCAACCAATCTCACTAAACCATCGGTTTACAATTACATGGGTTCAACCCAAAACTGATAACCAAACGCTCATTCAACCATATACCTAACCTCAATCTCACATCGATTTACAATTACAGGGGTTGAACCCAAAACCGATAATCAAACACTCATTCAACCATATATCACCAACCAATCTCACATCGGTTCACAATTACATGGAGTTCAACCCAAAAACCGTAATCAAACACTCACTAAACCATATATCATCAACCAATCTCACATCGGTTCACAATTACATGGAGTTCAACCCAAAAACCGTAATCAAACACTCACTAAACCATATATCATCAACCAATCTCACATCGGTTCACAATTACATGGGGTTCAACCCAAAAACCGTAATCAAACACTCACTAAACAATATATCATCAACCAATCTCACATCGGTTTACAATTACATGGGTTCAACCCAAAACTGATAACCAAACACTCATTCAACCATATACCTAACCTCAATCTCACATTGGTTTACAATTACATGGGTTGAACCCAATAACCATAATCAAATACTCACTAAACCATATATCACCAACCAATCTCACTAAACCATCGGTTTACAATTACATGGGTTCAACCCAAAACCGATAACCAAACGCTCAATCAACCATATACCTAACCTCAATCTCACATCGGTTTACAATTACATGGGTTGAACCCAAAACCGATAATCAAACACTCATTCAACCATATACATAACCTCAATCTCACATCGGTTCACAATTACATGGGTTCAACCCAAAACTGATAACCAAACACTCATTCAACCATATACCTAACCTCAATCTCACATCGGTTTACAATTACATGGGGTTCAACCCAATAACCGTAATCAAACACTCACTAAACCATATATCATCAACCAATCTCACATCGGGCCACAATTACATGGGTTCAACCCAAAACCGATAACCAAACGCTCAATCAACCATATACCTAACCTCAATCTCACATCGGTTTACAATTACAGGGGTTGAACCCAAAACCGATAATCAAACACTCATTCAACCATATACATAACCTCAATCTCACATCGGTTCACAATTACATGGGTTCAACCCAAAACTGATAACCAAACGCTCATTCAACCATATACATAACCTCAATCTCACATCGGTTCACAATTACAGGGGTTGAACCCAAAACCGATAATCAAACACTCATTCAACCATATACCTAACATCAATCTCACATTGGGCCACAATTACATGGGTTCAACCCAAAACCGATAACCAAACGCTCATTCAACCATATACCAAACATCAATCTCACATCGGTTTACAATTACATGGGTTGAACCCAAAACCGATAATCAAACACTCATTCAACCATATACCTAACATCAATCTCACATCGGGCCACAATTACATGGGTTCAACCCAAAACCGATAACCAAACACTCATTCAACCATATACCTAACATCAATCTCACATCGGTTCACAATTACAGGGGTTGTACCCAAAACCGATAATCAAACGCTCATTCAACCATATACCTAACATCAATCTCACATCGGTTCACAATTACATGGGTTCAACCCAAAATTGATAACCAAACGCTCATTCAACCATATACCTAACATCAATCTCACATCGGTTTACAATTACATGGGTTGAACCCAAAACCGATAATCAAACGCTCATTCAACCATATACCTAAACTCAATCTCACATCGGTTTACAATTACATGGGTTGAACCAAAAACCGATAATCAAACGCTCATTCAACCATATGTACTAAAAGGGAAACGGACAATCAATTTTACAAAATATGTTAAGTAGTCTGACTGGTTAGTGAGCTGAATTATTATGCCAAGTGCTCGGGTTCGAACCTTCCAAATGACGTTTTTTTCACTAACTCACAGCAGCCCACAATCTCACGGGTGTGAGATTGTTCTCTCAAGACCGTGAGGTTCTCTGGACATTAGGGAATGATTTGTTGATTCTCACGGCCCAGTCTCACGGGCGTGAGATTGCCATCATTAAGGTGTCACAGAAATCCCATCTCACATCCCAGTCTCACGGGCGTGAAAGATTCATCCTGCATCAGAGACACTGAGAAATTACCATCTCACGGCCGTGAAAATGAATTATTGAGGCCGTGAAAAAGCCTGCTGGCAGGGTGAATAAGGTCCATTTTCAACCATTTTTCGTTATATGATCATTCATAACTTCTTCCTTGTGGACACATTAAACATAATATAGAGAAAACATAACATCACTGAATAATGCTTCATTCATAACTTCATTGTAATTTCAACAGTTTCCTAAACTTCAATCAGCATCTACATTCAGTAAAATTCATTCAACATCTACATTTTCCTAAACTTCAAAAAAAAACATCCACATTAACTAAACTCTACATTAACATCACAACTCTCAATGCTTCTTAGACTTTCTACCCTTTTTCTCCCCATGCGCGTGCAACGGCTTTCTTCCTCGATTGAGTAAGTTCGTCTTGAAATTCACCTTCTCAGTCTCAATTTGGGCAGGTCTCACATGACTGTCAAAATATTCTTCTGATTGTGTCGTAATTGTAGCTTTCACCTCATTCAAATGCGTCGTGAGCAAGTACATTGTAAGTTGTGCCCGTTCATAGTCACTGTCGAACTGGTCAAGCTTCTTGGAATATCGATCTGGATCCAGCAAGTAATTGGAGACAAATAGTCCACAATCAAACCTGTAATATAACAAATAATTACCATGGTCATGATGCGAACAAATAATTATCGAACTTAATTAGAACAGTGCACGATTGAACAACAACAAAGGGTACCCATTTGGTTGGAAAGCAACATCCCGGCGATATCTAACCACAAAGTCCACAAATGAAAACGTCCCGCAGATATCATCCTTAAGCAACCAGTCTAGACCCAATTTCTGCAAATGAAAACATCCCCCTCATCGATATTTAACGACAAAATGAAAAACGACTAACAACTAAGCAATAAGTCAAGTTTGAAAACTTGAAGAACAAGAAGCAAACCAGTTTATGCATCCTTGCATCATATTCTAGGTTATGAATTCCTGGTATTGAGTCCCAGATTTCAATTTCTTTGGCTTCCATGTTAAAGACCGCCAGATAGAAGTGGGACACCGTGAGGTTGAAAATTGGGACATGAATCTGAAATAATGCACAAACAAACAATAATTATCAATTTAACATAGGAGTGTGAAGCCATTTCCTTTTAGAAAACAACATTACAACATACCTTACTGCAGTAAAGTAGCTCACTTATACGGTATCGCTCAAGTATCTTATATGACCGCATGTTTTCCATAAATTGCTCCTCGTTTTTGCAATGATACGCACGATCCTAGAAAAATAAAACACAGTTACCCACACAAGCTACATGTAACAAACAAATAGATTAATTTCATGACAAGAATAGACAAAGCAGACAACTGTACCGAAACTGAAGGTGGAAAGAACCAAGACACTCCACCACTGCGACCGCAACTTCGTTCTTCTAGTGTCTTGCACAGACATGCCATTTCTATAATCTAATGCATCATCATCACATATACCAAAGTCAGCAATACAAGTTTAATCTACTAAATTACACACATAAAGGAACTCACCCTTGTTGAAATTTTGGTCCTGGGCAAAAACTCGACCAAATCTTCACGTAACAACTCAAGAGCCCCGCCATCAAGACGAACCAATACGTCCCTGTTATACAAGACCAAGTTCAAACACCACAACATTAGAATAAGGCAAATACCAAAAATTTCCTACAGATATGATCCAATCTTACTTGTAATGATTTCGGGAGGTACCTTTCGGGAAGCGAACTACTAAAAGCAAATTGAATCATCTTTACTGCCTCCAGAGTCAATGGTGTCTGAACAACAAAGGGAGGAGCACGGTACAAAGGTTGTCCTTTCTTAGCTCTGGGATTTGCACGTTCGAATGGAGAGACCACATACAAACTAGGCTTCAATTTAGATACACTACGTAGTCCACCTCCCTTTCGCCCCTTTATTGTTCAAAAACATAAAAACAAAACAAGTTCAGTAGTAACCACACCATAAGTACAAATAATTAGAAAATTTAATAAAGTGTAATACCTTCACAGTCTTGGCACAACCATCATTAGCAGCAACACTTTCATCACTCAACAATATGAATTTCTCAACTTTAGACGCTTTCGCCTGCTTGCAAGGAGACTTTTTCACAACTTTGACAGAAGGAGATTCAGAACCGCAGTCATCTCCAATTTCCCCCTCAGCTTCTCCCCAATTCTTAACACCTAACCCTTGAGTCTTGACAGATTCGGAGGTAGGAGAAATGGGTTCACTTGGTTTTTCAACCTCAGCCTTCTGATTGCCCTTTTCCCCTCTGATAAGCTGCTCCGTTGACAACAAAACAGCTGCAGAAGCTTTCACATTATCAGCCTCATGCTTCTGATCGTTCTTTTTCAACTCAGTAGGCTGCTCCCTTGACAACGGAGCACCTATAGTTGCTTTCACTGCCTCTATAATGGACTTCACTTG